TCCATAAGCGCCAATTTACAACACGTCATCCAAGGCTCTTTACAGAGACAATTCAACCAGATCATCCAGTCAGATTGATTAAAAGTTTTCTATCTAAGGAAAACCCGATAATTGCATCGGTTCATTTTCATTTACAAAACTTTTTTTATTTTCTTGCAACAATAATGGAACACGATTCACTCCATAGGGAATGTGTAGTTTTAACCGATAGACTTGAGGCGTCTGATGATGTCACCGTGGATCATTGTGTTGCAGGTGACTCGTCTGCAGTACCTGAACGCTCTGATGGCGTCGCGGTCGGGCCAGAGTCCAGATCCTCCAGAGATCAAGATCCTGCCCAACAGTCAGACGAAGCTGCTCAATGACAGAAACACCACGCCAGGTAGCTTTCCTCCCAACGCTGTCTGACCTGCCGGGTCTGCTGCCTCGCCAAACCTGCCAACATTTTATTTTTTCAAATCTTTCCCTCTTCTTTCTGATGCCTTTTGCTGTGTTTTCTTTTTTAGGAATGTGCTTTCCTGTTTTCCTTCAGCGGAACTGAATTAATTTTCTCTTTCTCTTTCTTTTCCCCCTCCTTGCGTGCCTCCTCTTGTCTCTGGCCCTCCCAGAGTTCCCCGTAAACTTTTCATTCTTTGATACCATTGAGAACTACTGTTAGAGGGTTTTATGCATGAGGTAAATCCAGGCCAGCCTAGACGCTGACTGTCCTGCTCCAACGCTGACACCTTTACCTGCTCATAACACCCGTCCCCGACGAGCTTTTCTTTATTCATCTTAGGATGTTTGTGGATGTCTGAAGGCTTTTTTTTACCCCCTGAACTGTGTTTTTACCTTTTGTTTATATCAACTGTCCTCTTTGCTGTCCTCCTCCTGCTACTGTTGATATTTTGCTTCATGCTGTTCAGCCTTTGTTTCCACAAAACAAAGATGTGACGGTAATGCATTGTCTCAACAAAAAAAAAAAAGTCCACAGAAGGTGATGCCCTGGTCATCTGGTGTCCATATTGGAGGCGTCAGCAGGTCTGTAGGGGTGGGGCGACATTGTGGGATTGACTTACAGGCACAGTCTGTATGAGTTCCGCCATTGAGACTTCTACTGATCTGATTAGTCATCGGTTACTGATAAATAATAATCATTTTGTATCGATGCAACAGCCGACGATCCGATGCATCGACACGTCCGCAAGAGCATCGATTTATGTTTTTTATCCTCCAGTCTATTTTTATCTATTTGCTCCTGGACGTAATTCTGACCTATTTCGCCCTACCTCTCTTCCTTTAGCCGCTACCATCTTTCCGCTTGTACGGAAAAAAATGGCGGAGAAAAAAGAAGATGACTTACACACCCCTTCCGGGTTAAAGTCATTTTCTGCGGAAGTATTTCTGTTATTTTCTGTTGTTTCTCAAATGAAATGCACGACGATATTATAGCTTTCATTGATTTATTTCAAATTTGAAACATTGTCTGGCTGTAAGGTAGAAAAAAAACTGACCACAAATTGTATCGTGGTGTATTCTTGAGTATTGAAAATTATCGATGTTGGGTCAGGAAATCAATACTGAATCGAATCACCATGATGAGTGTGATTTACACCCCTAGTTACTGAGGGCCCTGTCACACCTTCCCAGTTTAGCCAGCGTATGTTCGACGTCCCAGAATCTCCAAAAACACTGGCATAGCTGAACTTTTTATGTATTTTTCAATTTTGGGCGTGTATATTGCGTATTTATAAATTATGTCCAACGAGAGCCTAAATAAGGCAAAACGCAGGGCAGCATAATGCCCAGGAAATGTCACAAGTCAGTGTCCTGATGGGTAGCGATGCGCTCGGAGGCGCCCAGCCTGCATAGAAAGATGTCACTGAATAAATAAAAAGAAAGAAAGAAGGTTTACAGTCGCAGTAGATTCAGCATCATGTCTGGTAGGAAGTTTGTTGATCGTTGGAGTGAACACAGGGAGGATCCATCACACTCACCTTCTCCGTCACCCTATGATGGGGATGAAGTCTGGAGGAAAACTGATGGTTTCCTCCTGTGAACCCCCTTTATACCAAAACGCTACAATCCATTGTATGCCTGCATTTTTGCACGATTTTTTGTACGTCAGGCAAATGCTGGTGTGACAGGGGCAACGGCAATTTTAATCTAATATTTTCTTTTGCTATTTGCTTTTCCATATCTAGTAAAAACACGACTCGGTAATAAAGCATTTTCTGATTCTTTTAAGATTTAGTCTGTCGGCCATATTTCTTGATACGTTTTCTGTTTGTTTTTGTGTTTATTTCTATTTTTATTTAAAAGTGTTGGTCCAAGCTAGGCGTGGTCACAACCCTCTAGTGCCTGCCTATCCTAGCCTAACGTCAGCCAATCTGAGGCTAACACCATCCGGTCTTAGGCTAACGCCATCTGGTCTTAGGCTAACGCC